GACGATCCGATCCACCGTGCTCTATCTCCCCACATAGTCCACTAAATTCTTGTTTTTTAAAATGAACGTATGTTTTTCAAATCACATGAAATGTAATTATGTTATAATATGTGATTGTTATACACTTTATATGTTTACATACCGTATATAGCCATTCGGTTAAATTATCATGACATTCATCCAACAGTGGACAGTTTGATTCTAATGCGACTACAGTGGGATTTTAATAATTGTAATGAGATTCAAATCTTGCATATCCTACCCCCGGTTCGCATTCACTTAACATGCAAATGGCCACAGTGTGATTCTAAAATTATCATAGTGCGATTATAATTATTATTATGCGATTATAATCACGAACCTCCATTTATGTTGTTCAAAACTAATAATACCGTACCTCTGTTTTTGGTGTTATAAATGATGAAACTAGTTAATAAATTATAGTATTTTAATTATTTGTGTTATCGTTGATAGTGTTACAGTTCACATGTCATACTTGATGATTATGGACCGTAACGTTGCGAAAACATTTGTATAGGGAACCTTTCCCCTCCAGGGACACATGTTAATGGAGAGACAGCCAAGATGCTGCCGGTTAAGGTCAGATTTGTGTGACGAAGATCCTCCACCTAAAACTCGCTTAAAACACGTTTTTGCTATGAACATTGTAAAATAAATAAACGGACAAACATTTGTTAAAATACGTTTTTATTAATCTGCAAAATTTTTTACGTTAAATCTAAAACCGAATATGTATTATGTTCTATGTTCAAACAGTTACAGTACAATGCAAACCATATCCGTTCCAGGAATACCAAAGCGTTAAAGTATCATTCCCCATGATGTCCTTATTAGTTCACCACGTTGGTTCACTGTGCGTCTATGTTGAAGTCAAGGCCATATATCCAACGAACGCGTCATCAACGTACATCCTAAAGTCGATTATTACCAACTAATAAAAGCTTTATACTTGAAAAAAACGTTTAAAATGTTGAGTAAAGATCTAACTCCAGATGCATTCCAACTTTAGCTCAACAGGAAGACTTAAACACTACAATATTGTCCGGAATTGAACCATCTCACAACCAGTGCTCATCACGCCACTTCGGCAAGTAATCCGATAACATTACAAACCACCATTGTGCACGTCATTAAACTCTCACAAAAACTGTAAAACTAACAAATATTACCTGACGTAATATTTGTTCAGTCATCCCTGACTCTCGGTTTGATCGTCGAGCCACTCCATTACATCCAGCCATCTCTCGGGATCCAACTGCATGGGATCGAGGGTGGAAAATTCTTCAGGACTCAATGCAGCACCTTGAACTTCAGCTTTTGATTTCAGTTTCCAATCATTGTGGACCTTCTGATGCGTGCTAAGATTTGACGACTGTGAAAATGCCTTCCCACACACAGGGCACAGGAATGGCTTCTCGCCCGTGTGTGTTCTCTGATGGTTTTGAAGAGTTGATGATTGTGCAAATGCCTTCCCACACACAGGGCACAGGAATGGCTTCTCGCCCGTGTGCGTTCTCTGATGAGTTTGAAGAGTTGATGACCGTGCAAATGCCTTCCCACACACAGGGCACAGGAATGGCTTCTCGCCCGTGTGCGTTCTCTGATGAGTTTGAAGAGTTGACGATTGTGCAAATGCCTTCCCACACACAGGGCACAGGAACGGCTTCTTGCCCGTGTGTGTTCTCTGGTGTCTCTGAAGATCTGATGGCCATGAAAAGGACTTCCCACACACAGAGCAATTGTGCGTGGGGCTGTGGAGAGCGTCTCTGCTCCATGTGAGCGTAGTAACAGCAGCGGTGTTATCGAGTTAAAAGTACGCTATCGGCCGCAAGGATGTTTAGCGTTGAGTTTTGGATTTTGTTAACTGCTATAACAAGAACGACACTCGCGTCTAACCGAGACGCAAAAAAAATCCCATAAATTTGACGACGAACACGTTTAAGAGTTTATCCGCGAAAATAGACACTTACTTGGAGATTCACGGTATATCGATGTCTGGAACCCGTCTGAAGATGTCGCCACAAACTCTCCCGACGCAAAGTCGCCTAACTGTCGACACAGCAATTGTGCTCGCCAGGCTGCGTTGTCTCGCGGTTGAAGGGCGATCAGCAGAGCGACGAGTCGAGCGTCCAACCTCATCAAGTTCCCTCTCGAAATGGCATTGAGCTCTGCTTCTGAGCCGCCTTATAACTCCCCCCCTAGGATCCAATCCTTTGTCTTTCAGGATATTTGCATTCGATTGTTAATTTATGAAGGCACAATCCGCATGTCTTTTAACATACCGAAGGGTAATGTGCCCATTGTGCTTCATGCATGAATATGTAAGTGCATCTCAGTGTGAAATTGTGCGCTTATTTTTAATTAATGGAAAAAACTTTGTCCTCGATTTAAAGTGAATGCAGAGAAATTAGCATGTAACTTTAGAAAAGGAAGAGAGCGGCCTTCTCGACGAGGGAGTGAAACCCAATAGGTAATATTCTTTTACAGCGTTACAATGGATAGGTTGTAGTTCATAGGTTATAATATTATGTTTCACTATGTTAGAGCTTAACATGTGAGAGTCTACAATATCAGAGTTGATCAAATGCGACGATCATGGGCATCAATCGGGTGAGTTTGATCAGAGGCTTTAATCAAAAGCGTCATCCCATCACGGAACACCACCTCCCTGCGTATATCACAGCAACAGAAGCAACTACAGCAGCAACAACAGTAGCGACAACAGCAGCAGCAACATCACATTTCGAGGGCGACGCAGCTACTTAGGATTCTGCTGCCCAGCTGTTTGTAGTCGGGACTTGCTCTCGCAGGATCCCACACGTCTTTGGAAATGATTGCAATGATCATGTCTGAGCTGATATTTAAGTCACTCAAGATTACTTTGTTTAACCATAACTTTAGGTAGGTTAGTGTCATCGGGGCTCTGTGAATACTACTCATGAATGAAATCACACTCCTGTATGACCGACATTGTACTAATTTTGGTTGATCGAGTAGAACAAGGCACGTGCCATGTCCAGACGAATTCTTATCAACAATATTGTCCTTAAATATGATGCTAAAATAAATGTTAACACTGGATTAAACGTGCACCTCTTAACCCCTCCCTCGCATTTACGACTAACGATTTGCATTTGCACATAACATACATTCAAGCACAGTAAAATGCTAATACGACCATATTGTTATTCTAAAATTTGAATGCGATTCATGTCCTGTACCCCCACAGTTCACATATCCGACCCCCGGATCGATTGAACAGATAATTTACATACATATCTATAGAGTGCGATTTTAATACTTCTAATGAGATTTATTTTATTACGTCTCTTCTACGTGACTTTACGGAAAGAACCAAGAAGACTATGAACTAGTGTTTAAATTTAGATCCATATAAACGGAGGTAAGGTATTATAATCTCATTAGAAGCATTAGAATCACAGTGTGGTCGTATTAGAATCACACTCTGCTCATATGTATATAGTCTCCGTGCAAGGATCGGATAAAAATTATAAAAATTACAACACGGTCGTATTACACTGCAAGATGAAGGTCTCATCTCAATGTCATCGAATAGCAAAAGACGGCATATTTATATATAAATACACGCACAAACCCATTATAATATAATGAGCTTATGAATCGTTACAATCGAAATGCTATATACAGTATATATATACACATACAAAAATCATAACAACCACACATGGTAACATATATACACCACATTAATTCAAATAGGTATTTTAAAATATGTTTTCAATTTTTTTAAAATTTAGAATGTCGTTGTCCATGTGGGGAGATGGAGCGCAGTGGGTCGTATCGTCTAAGCTGCTTTTCGGAATCCGCGTGATACCCCAGTCACATCGCCGAACTCCAGTGACAGCACCTTACCAAAACTACATCTCCCCATCAAGGCAGCCTTACCGATGCTGTGTATTGTGTTTATGGGATAACAGGGGTGGGTATTTTCCCATACGCCTTGCCCAAAAAGACTGATTATCCGCTTAACAGCCTAGCCCATAAACCACTATTGGTGATAGTGTTGTTTGAGAGCAGCTATTAAAGTCGCTTTGGCAAACGAGGTGGTGGCTGGCCAAACCATGCCTCGCTGTTTGTCTCCTGAGTGATGACGGATACAAACCTGACCAAGCGGAGACCATGTACCAGATCGGACTTTGGTTACTGATGTTAGAGTGATTGTATTGCAAGTGTGGTCACTACGCGACTGTATGTGCTCACTCCCGAAGCTCGGCGATTTTTGGCAACGCCACGGGGCTGCATTCACTTTAAATCGAGGACAATGGAGGGCATGGGGAACGTGTTTTTCCATTTATTCAAAATAAGCGCACAATTACACACTGAGATGCACTTACATATTCATGCATGAAGCACAATGGGCACATTACCCTTCGGTATGTTAATAGACATGCGGATTGTGCCTTCCAAAATTAACAATCGAATGCAAATATCCTGAAAGACAAAGGATTGGATCCTAGGGGGGGGAGTTATAAGGCGGCTCAGAAGCAGAGCTCAATGCCATTTCTAGAGGGAACTTGATGAGGTTGGACGCTCGACTCGTCGCTCTGCTGATCGCCCTTCAACCGCGAGACAACGCAGCCTGGCGAGCACAATTGCTGTGTCGACAGTTAGGCGACTTTGCGTCGGGAGAGTTCGTGGCGACATCTTCAAACGGGTTCCAGACATCGATATACCGTGAATCTCCAAGTAAGTGTCTATTTTCGCGGATGAACTCTTAAACGTTTTCGTCGCTAAATTAGCGGGATTTTTTTGCGTCTCGGTTAGACGCGAGTGTCGTTCTTGTTTTAGCAGTTAACAAAATCCAAAACTCGACGCTAAACATCCTTGCGGCCGATAGCGTACTTTTGACTCGATAACACCGCTACTGTTACTACGCTCACATGGAGCAGAGACGCTCTCCACAGCCCCACGCACACGGGGGCAAGGAACAATTCAATTGCTCTGTGTGTGGGAAGGCATTTTCATGGTCATCAAGTCTTAAGAGACACCAGAGAACACACACGGGTGAGAAGCCATTCCTGTGCTCTGTGTGTGGGAAAACATTTGCACACTCATCACATCTTCAGAGTCATCAGAGAACACACACGGGCGAGAAGCCATTCCTGTGCCCTGTGTGCGGGAAGACATTTGCACAATCGACAACTCTTCAAACTCATCAGAGAACGCACACGGGCGAGAAGCCATTCCTGTGCCCTGTGTGCGGGAAGACATTTGCACAATCGACAACTCTTCAAACTCATCAGAGAACACACACGGGCGAGAAGCCATTCCTGTGCCCTGTGTGTGGGAAGACATTTGCACACTCATCACATCTTCAGCGTCACCAGAGAACACACACGGGCGAGAAGCCATTCTTGTGCCCTGTGTGTGGGGAGGCATTTGCACACTCATCAAACATGAACAGGCATCAGAAGGTCCACAATGATAGGAAACTGAAATCAAAAGCTGAAATTCAAGGTGCTGCAATGGGTCCTGAAGAAGTTTCCACCTTCGATCCCATGCAGTTGGATCCCGAGAGATGGCTGGATGTAATGGAGTGGCTCGTGGATCAACCCGAGAGCTAGCGGTGAATGAAATATAATGTTGCATGCGGTTGTACCTATTAAGCTGTCTTGAGTACTTTTGTGTGTAATTCTGACCCTTTCGTTTTACAGTTCGTTTGAGAGTTTCTTGACGTGCAGGTGGTGATTTTTGATCTTGTCGGATTACTTGGTGAAATGGTGTGATGAGCAGTGGTTGTGAGATGGTTCAATTTCGGGCAATATTTTAGTGTTCAAGTCTTCCTGTTGAGCTAAAGTTGGAATGCATCTGTAGTTAGATCTTTACTCAACATTTTAAAAGTTTTTTTTTCAAGTATAAAGCTTTTTTTGGTTAGTAATAATCGACTTTAGGATGTACGTTGATGACGCGTTCGTTGGATATATGGCCTTGACTTCAACATAGACGCACAGTGAACAAACGTGGTGAACTAATCAGGAAATCATGGGGAATGATACTTTAACGCTTTGGTATTCCTGGAACGGATATGGTTTGTACTGTACTGACATAATAAACATTCGGTTCGAGTTTTAACGTAAAAATGATTGCAAGATGAATAAAAACGTTTTTTTAACAAATGTTTATCCCTTATTTATTTTACGATGTTCATAGCAAAACATGTTAAGAAAATTTCAGGTGGAAGATCTCCGTCACACAAGTGTGCCCTTAACCGGCAGCATCATGTTACAAATGTTATCGCAGTAAACAATTCGGACCACAGCAGGACACTCAATCTCGAGCATCTGCGAAGCAACGATATGAGTGGGCTAAGACCTGCAAGTTTATTCGAGTGTTGACGTTATTTTAGCTATATAGTTAAGTACATGTACGTGATAAGAATTCGTCGACATGGCCTGTGTCTTGTTCTCCTTAATCAACCAAAATTATGACAAATCTCATAAAATGAGTGTGCGCTAATTCTTCAGTAGTATTCGCTAAACACTAACCTAAGTAAACTTTAGTCTCTCAAATCTCAGCTCAGATAAGATCATCTCAATTATTTCCATAGACGTGTGGGGTCCCACGAGAGCAGAGCCGGCTAGAAACAGCCGGGCAGCAGTTGGAGCAGAAGCAGAAGTCGCTGCTTTGCCATCGAACGGTTTCGTAGCTGCCGTAGTTGCTTCTGTTACTGTTATATGCGCAGCATGTCGGTGTCCCGTAAAAGGATAACGGCTTATATAAAAAAAAAAACTCTGATCAAACCTACCAGATCAACGCTCTCGATCGACGCCTTTGATATACTCTTACATTGTTAACTCTCACACTGTGAACGTTAACAATTTGAACTCCAACAATATAATTTATAAACATTAACATATACATTTGAAGAATATACAAATTACCGTAAACAAGTGTTAAAGTAAACTCTTAATTTGTGAACTCTAACAATATAACCTATGAGCTATACATTAAAACGCTATAAAATAACATTATTAACTAGTGTTATAGATTAGCAAACCGTACAATGAAGTGTTATATTTGAATCTCAATCGAATTATTAGAATCATTCCGTGGTCCTCTACGAATCGCACTATGCTCGTAAGTATGTAACATTGTATGTATGTAATATGTATGCATGTAACATGTATGCATGTAACATGTATGTATGTAATATGGACGTGCCAACAAATGGTGGGATATGTGAAGCGGAAGGTGCAGGATCAGGATGGGATTAAAATTATTTGAATAACACTTTGGTGGTATTAGGATCAAGCTGTCCACTGCTGGATGAATTTTCCATCTCAATGGCCTCAAATAGCAATATTCAGTATGAATTAACATGTAAAATAATCGCACAAACCCAATATTAGCCCGTGAAATAATGAATCGTTACAATTGTAATGACTCTGGACTCACACTGCAGAGGGTTCTTTTATTTAGCCTTTAACGCGGTTTCAGACCCCAGGCGTCAGGATATAGCAACGACGACGACGAGACAGCAACCAGCCAACACAGCCCCAAACCTCGTTCTTCCCCCTCTCTTATTCTCAGCATGAACCTCCACCCACACTTGGTCTCGCCTTCCCTTCTCGAACTCTCTCTATCTTGTTGTCACCACTTGTCCCTTAGTTGACGCACTGTCTTTACATCACCCACCTCTATGACCTCTACCTGACCCCGCCATGGGCGGAGCAACTTGGGGGGCATACCCGGTGGCACCTGTGGGCAATACAACCATGCCCTGTCCCCCACTGCCCATGTGTAACGGGTTCCGGAGACACTTGTAGAGGTAACTTCTTTATTACAATACAACACTCCAACAGTCCAACTCTCCAACAGTCCTGATACTCTGTTACAACCTAGGTACACAGCCTAGCTACACAGCCTAGATACTCTACTCTGGCTACGCTCCGGAACTCGCCCTCACAAGGTCGTAGAGTCGGGAGTTCCAGAGTCCCAGCGCTGGCTCTCACAGCATCCCAGGGTCTTCAGATGGCTGGCCGTGGGTCTTGGGTCTTGAGTTACAACTGGGCCCCGATCGTCCAGGGAGCTCTCCTTTTATGCCTGGTCCAACGAGGGGTGGGGCCGTGTGCGCCACCAGACATCCCACAGAGCACACACAGCCCCCCCCCCGTTGGCGGCGCCCAGAGGAGCACTTGATGGAGGAGAAGCGTCTTGTGGAGCAAAAGCGCCTCGAGGAGGAGCAGCGCCTCGCCAAGATCGAGCGACAATGGCTCCAGAACGATACCACCAGCAGCAGCACCACTACTACTGCCACCACCACCACCGCTACCACCGCCACCACCGCCGCCGCCTCCACTAACGCCACCGCAACCACGTCCTCCAATCCTGTGTGGGGCCCAATAGCTCCGAGCTTTGGAGAAGAGGGCTTCCAAGAAGATAAAGCAAACTCCGGAGTCACTGAGCCACGGTAAAGCACTCTGCGTGTGCGCCCTGTGTGTTTATTTGTGTTATTTATTGCCATGCTTCTCACGCAGCATCAGCCTTACTCGGTCTCAAGACTTTTTTTCAGGAGGATCCTGCCAAGTTTACTCGCATTTTGCAAGAAAGTTGCTACTGTTTGCGATCCAAATTGAACGATTTGCATTGCTTGTGTGGGTTCAGTAACAGGGAGAAAGCTGCATAACCTTCCCAGAACAGCTGGCTGCATAATCCACACGGAGAATGTGGCCAAACGTGGAAATCAAACCCAGGTCAATGTTGCTGTGACGCACAGGTGCTCAAGCCCTGTCGCGCTCTCAAAATTCACAGACACTGCAAACCCCACGTGTACATTCCGCTATACTGAGGACAGATTTATTTTTCATAACTGGTTTCTGGGTTAGACCACATAACGAAGTGGGCATATCTTCACCATGTAACCCTCCATCCACCGTGAGATTTTCGCTGTCTATCGCCTGTTTCCAGGCCAGCTGCCAAGTCGCTTTGTAATGTACAGCGACAGCTACCACTGAGAGGGGTGTCCAATTTAAAACGCGATGAGATGAGAGATGCGAGAGGTTCATCGCATGCAATGCGCACTCTGAGATGTCTTCGATGTCAAGGGAGGTGGCTCTCTCGACCACAAATCACTCACGGACACTTTTTTTAAATCGTGGATGTGTTGAAGCGACCAAATTTTTGTGCACTCATTCTTCACCATTACAGTTCAGTTCTTGCTTCCCGCCCTGGCTAATATTGCTGCTGCATTGACCACACAGATCCACACCCATTCCGTCACAGTGGACGTTCAGGATCTATCGATGCCATTTGAAATGCTTAGGACATTATGTGCAAGGGGTCAATTAGAATATACATATAGAATATGTTCAATCTAGATTTGAAGTTTTAGTGACTACAGGGATCCATATTCTTTGGTTATATCGGTAAATTCACGTTGGTATGAAATAAAATAAATTAAATTAAATCACGACGTTTCGATGGCCATGTCGTTATTGCAAGAACGTTTCTTGATGTGGTTTTCCCACCTGATGAAGATTGCTTGTGTTACAATCGAAACGTTGTGATTTAATTTATTTTATTTTATACCTATGTAGTACGTATATGGGAGGCTTGACGACAGGATCGGAGGCACACTTGTTTATTACACCAACACAGTAATTACAGGTCACTTGGCTACAGGGATTGCACAACAGCTAACCCCTCTAACCTATGCCCATTCCTCCACTACGGGGCTAGGGGAGGCTATCTGTCCCAGCCTGGTTAAGCTGGGATCCCGGCACCCTGAGTCTCCAGACCAGCTTAGTCTGGGCTCTCGGGGCCACGCCACCGGCTTGCCCTGGTCGGCCCTTATAAGGACAGCGAGCCAGGGGAGCTCTGGGGCCTATTCTAGCAGGTCTTCCTTCTTCTCTGGTTAAAGCTGAGCCCCGACCTCGAGCCCTCGAGCTCATCACCTTTTATAGGACTCGCCCCCGAGGGGGGGCCCGTGGGGGATGCACATGCGGACGTCGGTGCGAGCGCCACCCTTGTGTACGGCCGTAACCCCGCCCCTTGTGTTTGTTGGCCATCCGTGGCCATGCATAATCACACCTCAACATCCGTAGCCATGCGCAATTACACCTCTACATCACCCCCCCCCCCCTGTACAGCTCGCAGCCGTCCCTGGCTGCAAAAAAAATCAGAATAAAGGTGCATCCCTCAC